CTTTTGATTGCAGTGTCTCCATGCCTATATAGGGACTTGCGTACAGGATGCTCAGATTTCAAATGTGTTCAGCAAGTGATTAATATTCCTGGATGTGACCAGGAAAAACAAATGGGAAAATTGAAGCCTTCAGAAAGTTGAGAAGGAAACAGAGTTAGGAATTTTCTCCCACATGCCCAAGTGAAATTCTGGGACCCTTGAAATTATCAATTCCGGCCCCAAATTTTGTAAAGGGGAGGGAATAATTTATTATTCAGAAACCTTGTTCCAAACATCAATGGTCCCTTTCAGGGCCACCTTGGAAAGAGGATTCCTGGCAGGACATATCTCAGATGATTAGAATTCAGAACAGTGACTGGGTAGAGGGCACTCTCCTCACACCTATCAGAATTGGCCAGGAACCCAGGGATGAACTTTCTATTGCCAGCAATTGTACAGACCTTGGTCTTTCCCATGAATTCCCTCTGCGGACCCTCAACTCAAAGCATAGTATGATTTTTTTTTTCTTTTGTACTAGGGATTGAACTCAGGGGCACTCAACCACTGAGCCACATCCCCAGCCCCCTCCCCTTTTCTATATTTTATTTAGAGACAGGGTCTCACTGAGTTGCTTAGTTGCTCAGTGTTGAGAGCCACAGCCAAAGGGGCCCCAGCAAACTTCCAGCTGCCAGCAAACTTCCAGCTGCCAGCTGATGATTGGCTCACAGCGGCCCCAGCAACATCTAGCTGATTGGCTCCTCCACGGAGCTGCTCATTGGGGGACTTCTTTGGCTCCGCCCATGCAACCCAGCCAATCGGCCTCAAGAGCAGGAGGATGGTGGGAGGTGGAGAGGCTGGTGTCGGGGTGAGAGGCTTGTGGGAAGTCGGTGGTGGCAGTTGGGCTCTGAGGGTTTTTTCCTGAGGAGCTGTTTTGTTTGGCGTTTGTAGTTCTAAAAATAAAGTTAGTTTCTTTTGACAAGTGGCTCCTGAAATGTGCCCAGCCAGCCCCCAGGGTCTCACTGAGTTGCTTAGTTGCTGAGGCTGCCTGTGAACTCACAATTCTCCTGCCTCAGCCTCCAGAGCTGCTGCGATTAGAGGCATACACCACCATGCCCAGCTCATAATATGCATTTTGTGCTATGTATTCAGGCACCTGTTGTTTGAACCAATTCCAACTTAGTTTTTATGCTTTTTTTTTTTTTTCAGTGAACACAGTGGTGGACCACCATGGTGGAAGGAGCCCAGCTAGGAGCCAGGACTCCTGGTTTCCATTCCCACACGTGCATAAAAGTGCAAGTTGTGGGCTAGGCATACGGCTCAATGGTAGATGCTTGCCTAGCATGTGCAAGGCCCTGGATTTGATACCCAGCACCTTGCAGGGGGAAAAAAAATAAAAGTACAAGTTGTATTTGGTGCTCTCTGTCTGAGCCAGAACTGGGAGACATTCCCAGTGGTGTGCAGTTCTGGCATCTTTGGGAGATTCCAGACCTTGGCTATGTGGTGGGGGCTGGGCATGCACTGAGAAGGAAATGTCCCTGGATAATATATCAGAAGCATCTATTGGAGCATAACCAATGACAGTAACAAACCTGGCTCTTTACAGTTTCCATTTGGCCCTATATCAAAGGATCATTTTGCAGATGTAGACACTGAACCCAAAAGGTTAAATGCTGTCACTAATGTCAGGTAGGTGAGGAGACCCCTGGAAGCCATCCAGATGTCTTTCAGTTGAACTGACATATTTTCTCACTCCCTACTTTTATTTAGAAAGAGAAAAGTGGATGCCTTCCTTCCCCCACCCCATGGCTTTTGAGTGTCAGACACGTTCTCCTGATGAGCTGCCTGGATGCTATCACTTTGATACATCTATTAAGTTTGGAAATTAGAGGTCACACACTTCCTGCTTCCTAAAGAATGGCCGCCACTTCTGTCCCATAGTCCTTGCCTTTTCACAGCCCTGTGTGAAAAGTGTCCCCACTTCACAGACAGGGAGACTTGAGATCACACAATGGAAGTGCCTGGTGGCTGCAGGGTCAGAACCGGAGCCTGGAGCACCAACTACTAGCCAGATCAGCTACGCTTCTCAGTGCTGTCTTAGGGGCTAAAATAGAGACAGCCTTCCCCAGCACTACCAGGGGAAAATCTAGGTTCCTACAAATGCTCTTGTACAAGAGCAGCTCTCTGGATCCAAAGGAGCAGCCACTGGGCAGCTGGGAATCCATACAGTTCAGCAGAAGAAGGGGCACTGCCCTTGGCCAGTTCCAGTAATATTTGTTTCAATGCTGCCTCTCAGGAAGCTTTATCAACTTCAGATGAAATTCACTGTTTTCCTAAAAATTTCCCAACTTCTAGTGCTTGCCTGGAAGAACCAGGCTGGGCAGTTTCCTGGGCTGGAATCCCTGCTTGGTTTATTGACTTCACAAACCCATGACAGAAGTTTGGAGGTTGAACAAGAATGTTTTGAACAGTCTATGCAGGTCACATGGTCATCAAGGGAGGGCAGCTACTGAGCTTGGGAGCCACAGAGTTGGCAGGTTTGTGGATTGTTCCTTCAGTCCCCAGACCCAAGAGGGAGCCCTCAGAATGCACCTGTCAACCCCACAGTGACATAATGATGTACATAATGATGCTTTGAATGAGGTCAGGAGAATAGAGTGCCTGAGGAATCCTCCTTCACGGTCTGTCTCACATCCTGTGACAGCCAACAGCCTGAATCTATTTCATCCTAAAAATCAGGAATTTTTTCATAGCCATGTAACAGAGGTATCTGTGTCATTCCTGAAGCCACTTAAATTGTCACCAAAGTTGTATGTGTATAACTGTGTCTATAGGCAGGACACATGGGTGTAGTTATTCACCACACAAGAATCACTCAGCAAAGATCCAGAATCCTGCCCTCAATGCTATCTGCATATGCAGGAGGGACATGGACCTCACCCTTGTCACACTGCCTCTGAAACAGCCAAGCCCTCAGGTTGGCATGCACTGTGTGCACAGCACCCTAATGCATGGTGGGACATGCATGCTCCATCCCATTTCTCCTCCCTGGGCAGAGGATGAAGCCTCCCACCTACTCCTGCCCTAACATGCCTATCCCCTGGCTCCACCCAGCACAGCTGTGTGCCCGTCCATTCCTGGACCAGGGAGGACATGTGGGGACCACAAAGACAGGAAGTGCTTCCCACATCCATCTGGCAGCTCAGCCTGGTGCTTTTTAAAACCTGACCTGTGGTCACTGAACCCAGTAACCACGGAAGGTTTTAAAAAGACTCAGATACATGTAATTAAAATCTCAGTGTTGGGTTTTAGGGAAGGCACTGGGCAACTCCCACCCTGCTTTCCGGAAACACAGATTTTTGACATAAGTGACAGGGAGCTAAAGTAAGATTCCCCTAAATATACCATCCTGAGCAGGTCTGTGAAGCTGGGCAAATTATTCCACAGCCGTGGCCTTTGCCCAGACAGCTGGGCCAGTCCCCACCTCAGGTCTCACCCCCTGCCTGTCTCACCCTCCACCCTTGCCAGCACAGGGTGCCTCTCAGACCACACTGCTGCCCACTGGCCAGAGTCAGAGCCTCACTTCTCAGCCCAGGGCTCCAGCCCCCATAAAGCAGGCCCAGCCAGACCCACTGTTGCACCCAGAGAGCGAATCAGTGGGTGGTCCCCAGCCCTCCTCATCCACACACACCACTCCCCTCGGCCTAGAGCCCACCCTGCCACCTCACCATCTACCATCTACCAATGTGCCTTCCCATTTGTCTGAAAGACCCCCGTCCAATGAAAGACCCCCGTATCCCTGTCCAAGGAGAATCACACGAAACACTGGCTGCAAAAGCAAGAGGTTTAGGTTTATTGGGACACAGGCGCCTGCGGGTGCCCAGCAGAACCTCAGCCGGAGCTTTGGTGAACTGGCACACCGGGCTTGGGGATACAGAGATTTTTATAGGGTTTGGGACAGGTTTAGTGCGCGCGGGAAGCAACAGGTTTCTTATTGGTTTGTTTAAATCTAGCATATAGGCCACCTAGGGGGTACAGGTCTGCATTCCAAAAACCACAGGTCTGCATTCTATTCTTTCTGTTCCTGCTTATCTGTTCCGGTTTATTCATTCATGCCTCAGGATGCGGGTGCTCTGTTCTTCAACAGGTTGTCCGGAAAGCATGCCTGGCGCCTGAACCTGTTTATGGCGTGCCTGGTATCTTGGTTTCATATCTTGGCCTTAGGTAACTGGGCTGACTGGGCTAGGGTCTTTCATGTCAAGGCCAGCTCAGATATCACCACACCATGGGACCCTCTGACTTTCTAGAACTTTCCAGGAGCTTGTCATTCCTACCTTAGTGTTCCTTGTTCCTTCTTTCTCCCTCCTTCCTTCTTCCCTTTGTCCTTGGGTCCTTTGTCTCCCATAGTTTCTGGCAGTGGTGGTCCCTCCCTGCCCTTAGGTCCTTCAACCCTTGGCCTCACTCTACTGTCCTCTGCAGTGCCCCCCTCCTTGAACACTGAGGCTAATTTGCACTCAGGCCTCACGGCCTGGCTCAGATGTCAGACCTGAGCTTTCCCCTTCCCCCACCTCCCATCCAGATACAAGGGCAGACTCTGGGAAGTCACCGTCCCACTGTAATGCAGCTGGATATGTCCCTGCCCACTAGGTTTCCCCATGGGACTAATGCCTTTTTCTGCCTTGGGGCCCATGTCCATATTCCCTTTAGCCTGGGAGTTCCCAGAGGAGAGCCTCCTGCCCTTTATCATGGATGCTGGTGCCATCAAGGAGACAAGGTGGCATTGGATGAGTTTTAGGCTTGGCCTGTTGAGCATCTCTGTCCCTGGGCTCTGTGTTCAGGACACTCCCCCAGCAGAGTCAGGAACAAATTCATGGGTAGAGGAGGAGGCTGGCCCCATGGAGGCTGCGCAGGGCCCTTTGAAGAACAGCCATTAGATCGTGGCAGCTAACACTTGGCTCTGCCTACTCTGGAGCCTGAATCATTCCAAACACATGTGACCACCTGGCTCCCACTTTGTTTTCCAGTGGAACGTGACCGCACCCTGGGCCACCAGGAGCCCCACTGGAAGGAGTTCCGCTTTGATCTGACCCAGATCCCAGCAGGGGAGGCTGTCACAGCTGCAGAGTTCCGGATTTATAAGCTGCCCAGCACCCACCCCCTCAACACGACGCTCCACATCAGCATGTTCGAGGTGGTCCAGGAGCACTCCAACAGGTGCCTCCCTCAGCCCAGGCACCTCCCATCTCATGGGCTCCTGGTCAAGGCTCTGGCAGTGTGTCCTGCCCCACCTGGGGGGAAGGGGCATTTCCCAGAGAAAGAAAGGGGAGCTTCCTGGGAGAAGAGCCTCAGAGATGGGAAAGATGCTGGGCCAGACAGTTCCTGCCCTGCCATCCTGACTGTGGCCCCCTGGACGGGTCACTGAGCCACTGAGTCTCAGTTTCCCCACCTGCACAGTACCATGTTTTGAGTTGATTATTAGTGAAACAAGGCACAGACAGAGCTCAGAGCCAGGGCAGGACAGATATTCCAGTAGTGGTCCCCAGGTGGCACGAGACCCACAGAGGCAGCTGGACCGGCCCTCAGCCATCAGTTAATTGTTCTTTCGTGTCCACAGGGAGTCTGACTTGTTCTTTTTGGATCTTCAGACGCTTCAAGCTGGGGACGAGGGCTGGCTGGTGCTGGATGTCACAGCAGCCAGTGACCGCTGGTTGCTGAACCGTAACAAGGACCTGGGACTCCGTCTCTATGTGGAAACTGAGGATGGTGAGGCTCAGGGTCTGGGCTGGGTGAGCTCCCCTGGGACTCCAGGAAGCTGTGCCAGCTGAGGCCTCTAGAACGTCCAAAGTGGCCTCACTGGTTCCTGGGTGCCTGGTCTTTCTCTGCTGTGCCCACTCTGAAGACTCCAGTGGGTAGAGAGAGTGAGGTCCTGGACACAAGGATGCCCTCAGCCAGAGCCCTCTTCTGAGGAACATCTGGGGTGCTGAGAGTCAAGTGTCCTTCCCCAGGAAGGGGCAGTTCCTGTGCTCCAAGGACAGTAGTGGGAGGTGGCTTCATCCTCAGGCTGAGTGAGGGACTGTGGTTGGAATCCCAGCTGCATGAGTCAGTGACATCAGCAGGTTACTTACCTTCCCAAGACTCAGTTTCCTCATCCACAAAACGAGGTTCCCTCTCTCCTTCACATACAGGAATTTGGGGAGCATGCCTTTATACCAGGCAGTGGATGGAAAGGCCAAGGGAGCACAAGATTGGTCTGTCTGAGGTCCAGTGAGAGGGCCACATGGAGGAGCAGAGGGCAGGAAGGAGACCTAGGAAGGAGACCGAGGGTGGGCAAGGGTCACTGTGAGCCGGGTAAACAGCTGGGCAAGGCGTTTGGGGTTTCTAGGGGTAGTTTAGCAGCAATGGGTGATAACAGGTTCGGACAAAGGTTTTTTTTTAAAGGAAGCTCTGAGATTCCCCGTTTAAGGAGGGGGAGCTTAACTCGCCACAGGTGTGGGTGCACTCACTGCAGGGTGTCAGCGGAAATAAACCATTGTGCGCGCCTGGCACCACAGAGAGCTGTGACAGGCGGCTATCACCATCAAACACCATCCCAGTCAGGTCACCCTGCAGTGCCTTAGCTCCTGAGTTTCAGGAAACTCTGTAGGGCTTGGGGTTTCGGTGGGGAGCAGGCGGGTAAGTAGGGATAGTGGTGGCGCCCCCACGTGGAGCGCGCCCCAGGCGGCGTCCGGGATGCGGTGCCCTCCCTGCAGTCAGAGGAACACTCTCCTGGTGCAGCCGACCTGTTCTGACCTCAGAGCCCCACTGACCGTGGCGGGGCTGCGGCTCCATGTCCCTGCCAGGCGCTGGGGCCAGCGCTGCCCCAGAGACGCGCCCGCCGCTCCGCCACCAGCCCTCAGTCCCGCACCTAGTTCTACACGGATCGGAGGACAAGGTGAAGAACATCCGCAAAGAGGCGACCGTCGTGCTGGGGGCCGGGGGTGTTCGGGCTCTGTGGGAACCCGGAGAACTTGATGGCCGCGTTGCTGAGGACCGCCGAGAGGGACCTGAAGTGGTGAGCAGCAACGTGGGCGTGGACGACTTCGGCCTGGGCCTCTTCCTAGCCACCAAGCAGGACCGCAGCGTGGTCTGCTCCCACCTGGGCGAAAACACGCTGTGCGGGCAGAGGTAGCTGGAGGGCGAGCTGGACCTGGGGCTGACGCCGCAGGGCACCCTGGTCCAGCGCATCCAGCGGGATCCCCGCCTTCTGCACGCCCACCGGCTACAGCACGGCGCAGGAAGGCGGCGCGCCCATCAGGTACTACCCCAACGGCAGCCTGGCCATCCAGAGCCAGCCAAGACAGGTGAAAGAGTTCCGGGGCCAGCACTACCTCCAGGAGTACGCCGTGAGAGCAGACTTCGTCTTGGCGAAGGGGTGGACCTCGCGAGCAACGTGATCTTCAAGGAAAGCGCCAGGACTTTCAACGTGCCCATGTGCAACGCTGCGGATGTCGCGGTGGTGGAGGTGGAAGTAATCGTGGACGTGGGGACTTTTCTCCCAGAAGATCTCTGACCCACCATATATGTAGATCACGTGATAAAGGGGCCGAAATAAGAGAAAAAAACCCGAGCGTTTAGTCCCACGGAGCAAGGAAGATGGGAAAGCCCCGCTGGAAAACGACAAAGGATGCGCATGATCAAACGCTCTGCTCTTGAATCTGAGGACTGCACGTAAGCCAGTCTGGGCATCGGAGTCCCTCTCCTGGCCAGCAACTTCGTCAGCCCTGACATGACAGTTCATCTATCTGCACAGTGACAACGGAATCCTGGGCATGGGCCCATTTCCATGGAAAGATGAGGTGGATCTAGATGTCATCAACGCAGGCAAGCAGACTGTCACCGTGATCCCAGGGGGCTGTTTCTTTACCAGCGAAGACTCCTTTGCCATGATTCGCGGGGAACACATCAGCTGACCATACTGAGGTCCAAGCAGGTTTCCAAATACATCTACCTGGCTAACTGGATGATACCGCTAAAGAGGTGAAAAGAATGGGCGGGGCCATGGATTTGGTGTCCCGTGACAAGACCAACGTAGTGGTCACCATTGGAACACGACACCAAGGCAAAGACCCCCAAAATCGTGGGGAAATGCACATTGCCGCTATGGAGGAAGCATTCCATGGACCGCATCATCTCTGAGAAGGCTGCGTTTGATGTGCTTGGAAACAGGGGGCTGACGCTGGTGGAGCTTTGTGAAGGTTTCACTGAGATCGAGGTCAAGATCAGCACGGACAGCGCCATTGCCGTGTCCCTGAACCTCAAGCCCATGCTGCAGGTAGCAACAGGACGTAGAGGCGCCCCTACTGAGTGTGTGCTGGTGGGGGCTCGCCTCCCCGGGTTTACTGGGGAGGGAGACGGTAGCCGCCTGAGGGCGCTGCACAGCACTTGGCTCCCTGCAGAGGCTCCTCAGGCCTTCTGCTGCCAGATAGACTGTTCTCTCAAGAGCGATGTGACTTTCATTAAAAACAAAAGGAAACAGCTAAGCTCACTCGTGTGTCCTGCGAGTGCTGCAGAGCTCTCTGCCTCACGATACTCTCTCACACAGGATTTCATTCCAGTGCCTCCCTTTTCATTTTTTGAGACAAAACCTTGGAACATGCAGCCCTCCTCCCTCAGCATCCCAGTAGTGTGGATAACAGGCGTGTGCACCACACCCAGTTGTAAGGTGTCATTTTATTTACTTGAAAAACACACAAACCTAAGCGCGACTTTGTGAGCGGAAGTGATGTTGCCCTCATGAGAGCCTTTCCTTTAGCCCCTCCGACTTTTCCTCCAAGGTCCTGCATTCTGTTCCGAGTTTTGTTTCTTGCGTCCCCCCTCATCCATGCACACTCCTCCTGGTAGGACATGGATGTCTTTATAGGAGGAAGGCAGGGCTGACTCCAGGATAGGGGACCTGTGAGTGGGAGAGACTGAGATGGGGGCAGTGGGTGCTGGCAGTCTACCTGGAAGGAGCCTGTATAAATAAACAGTCCCCATGTTGCCAAAGGCTGCGGTTTATCACAGGGCGAGTTCTAGAAACCCCACCCATGGCCTGGGCAGGTTCTTGCCAGTTAAATTGCAGTGTCCCATGCGATCCACACAGATTCTGTCCTGGAGGCCCAAACTGACCTTGGGCGAAATAGTCCCTGAGAGCCCAACAGGGGCTCTGGATATGTCATCCTGAATGCATAGTCTCACAATCTAAAGTGAAAACAAATGTATAGATTTGTGTGTGTGTGTGTGTGTGTGTGTGTGTGTGTGTGTGAGAGAGAGAGAGAGAGAGAGAGAGAGAGAGCGCACACACATGCGTGCTATGAAGGTCTAGTCTGGAAGGCAGTGTGCACTTAGCGAATGAGAGAGAGAGAGAGCGCACACACACACACACATACACACGTGCGTGGCAGTGTGCACTTAGCGAGTGCAGCTCCAGAGGCCTCACAGCCCAGAGACCTTGCTCCTAGCAGCAGTTCCAGCTGCAGCTGGTG